CCCATACAGCAACAAGGGAAGTCCATATTGTTATGAAGGTCACAGGGTCATCAGGTTGATATTCTGGTCAACATCCATACAGCAACAGTGTGAGTCCATATTGTTATGAAGGTCACAGGGTCATCAGGTTGATATTCTGGTCAACATCCATACAGCAACAGTGTGAGTCCATATTGTTGTGAAGGTCACAGGGTCATCAGGTTGATATTCAGGTCAACACCCATACAGCAACAAGGGAAGTCCATATTGTTATGAAGGTCACAGGGTCATCAACAGGTTAATTTACAGTTCTATGCTCATAGACAACATTGTATCAAGTGTTTTTGCTTCTTGTTTTAGTGCATTATACCCATCATTACCAGAGTAATACTGAAGTATTCCATTATATATTAGTTAGAGTCAAGATGCAGTATGGTAGTTAGGCTCAGATGTCAGGTTTCCATCTCGTTACAGATCACTGGACAGCCTTATGGAGTATTTCACGTGTAAGTTATACTTTTAAGACTGCAATACAAAGAAAGATAAATCATTAGGACATTAATATTTAGGATTTTCATGGTTCTAACGAGGGAAGGAAGGTCTTAAAATTTCACGAACCAAGTTTCGTGTAACGATGATGACAAAAGTTTCAAAATATGGAAAAAATGAAAATATACTCAAATTAAGCTTACAAACTGTTTGAAAACTTTCTATAATTACATATTTGTGGCAAATTTAATTGTATTTTGCAAGAAAAAGTGAAATTCTTAGAGTTCAAAGCCAACACGTGTCATGGCGGTCAATCGAACTTTCGAAATCTACAAACTGGTTAAAAATACGGAAAAACGCCAGAATAACGCAGAAAAACACGATAATTCTTACCTTTCATAGTTCTCGTGTCCTTATCTCTCTGTTAGGTGTAGCACGAGCTAATAATTTTTTGTTGTTGTTGTAAAAACTTCTCTTTATATTTCCACAGATTGACACACGTCGAACCACGAAGGGAGCAAGTTTGAAATGAGCACAAGTCACAACAAGGGCCTGGAACTAGCATTTTACACAGGGATCCCACAAAAGTCTTGATTTTTTGGTGAAAATGCGACGGTTTTCGAGCAATATTTTTTGCCCAAAACGTGAAACATGACCAGAAAAGGTCATATTTGCACACTACGGAGGATAAAAACCCGAAAAAACGCTTATTTTAGGCAGAAAACACCATTATGTTAATTAGTCACGTGACCGGTCACGTGACCCTTAATGTTGTGTTTTTTTAAGGCGCGATTTTTAAATTTTCATAACGAAAAAAAAATCGTGGGTTTGAAATAATCCTTTCATTTGAATTCATTAGATCACGCAGTTGATAATAAAAGAACATCGAACCTTTATTGTGTGRYWTTTATTGYCTGACCCATAAAAATAAAAAATAAAAGAAATAAAACAACAGCTGAAAAATATCCTTTMATGTCTAGACTCCACCCGACCAAAAATAAAATACACCCAGAGACAAAGAGGAACAAACDAAGATTTCAAGACGCATGAAGCGCCAACATTTTTTATTACACTTTGATAAATTATCAAGTTTATTAACCTCATGCGGCTTCGCCACTTCGCGTGCCTGTTTTGATTTTAAGTTCCTTTCACACAATGAAACTTAAAGCTAAAACTTGTGAACAACTTTTGGTTTGTGCCGCAAACGAAACTTCGGGAGCAGGTTTCACTATGAAATTGTACCGTGCTACGCCCCCTTGAATCTTGTCTCTTAACGACGTTGAACACAAGTTTTAGCAAAAAGTTCTAGGCGTAAAACAAGAGCTTTATTTCTTGAAGCACAGCAGCACAAAGCAACCGTTTGATACTAGTAAATTATGCGCATTAATTTGTTCTCCTTTATTTCAGTTTGAATAAGTGATTTCAAGCTTTGAATAAAACAATGCCCGAGGGAATAACACGTGACTTTACTACACAACGCTCAAAGTAATCAAATACATGACGTCATATTTGGGTGAATACAGTAGAAACCAGTGGAAGGTTTTCTTCTGTTTTTAAGAAAAAGGGCCGCGAGCGTGGTTTTTTAGTCACGTCGTTCCCTCGAGCATCATTTATTTCTTTCATACAATTRACATTCTTCATCATGATACGATAAGAAGCAAGCCTTAAGGAATCTAGCACTTTATGAACAAGTGCCTTTATTGTTTATTGGTTAATCTCTTAAGAATTACTTCTTTGTTTCTCTGTGACGGTCACGGTGTTGATGGGTCATTGTCCAGTCACCCTCACGATTATCCTAAAAACGAGCAGAACAGGAAAATACAAAAGAAATCACAGCTTTTCTGCTGTGATATTTCTTTTGTTTTGTCCTGTAAGACTCGCATTCAAAATAATGTCGAAAGCCGTGGTCCAGAGGTCTGGGGTTGGGAGGGGGCGTATAGTGACGACTGAGATTTTGTATTTTTTTTTAAAGTATTTTAATAAGACTCACTCAATTTTGCATCTTTTTACAGTTAACATTTGTATATAGTTCAAACTCTTTTCTTCTCCTTTCGCTCTGTTTTATCTTTTATCTTTTAATATTCTTTACCGTGTCTTTTTTGACACATATTCTTAATTCTTTCCTTTCCATTCCTTTTCTCTATTTTTCACATTTTTTCTGTGATTTTCTTTTACTTGTTTCTTCTATTTCCTATTTTCCTTTTTTGCTTTTACTATTTATTTATTTCATCTCGTTTCTCCTTCCTCTCTTCTTACATTTTCATTTTATTTCTT